GATTCTAGAAAGAAGTAGAATTAAGTTTTTTCTTGAATTAGTTACTGTAAAGATGTGATATATTTTTCTACAGTTGTTGCATTTAAACAATTACTAAGTGCATTCATAATCACATTTTATGATTGTATATTTAGCTATACAAATTAAAAGAACATAGTCAACTAACTAATCTTGTGAATGCAAGAAAGTACAATCTACTAGTCAATGCCAATAAACTAAAAAGTTTACTTTTATACTTAATAAAGGATGCAAGTCATTTTAGAAAGAAAATTATATTTATATGTGTCTTTTTAAATTGTTTATAATAGTTTTTAAATATTTCTGTTTTGATATAAAAATGTATATATGCTAATTTTTGGCTATTAAGTGCTCCCTAAAATTTTCTTGAAAAATTCCTACCTAAAATATTTCAAAATTTCACTGCACCTCCTGAATTCTATCAAAGAGTGTTTTTTTTTGTGTTATTTGCATTTTCTTAAACTCTCATTATTTAATTACTGAATTTCTCTTTTAATTATTGAAATCTGTAGACCTTTCATTGTAACTGAATAGTTATATATTTTGAGATGAAATTTGAGCTCAAAATAAAATGGGTATTTTCCCTTTTGAATTACTGAAACTAAATAGATATTTCTTTTTAGAAAGTTAACACCATTATATTTTAAAAAATAAGAAAGTTAAAATTTACTTTGTAAAATTCTGGAACAGATACTATTCATTGGCATAAATGATAAATGCAATATATATGAAAACAACAGAGTCCATAAAACAATTTTGTGGACTCTTATTATCAATCACATGCAGGTTTTTTAAAATCCTAGCAATAGTGAATGTATGTATAATTGTAGTACTCCTAGTATGCTATTAATGGTTTTATGGATCCTGAAAATTATCTTTATATTGTTATCAAACTGATTAATAATCATTTTAGCTGAGATAAACTGAGTGAAAAAAATAATTTTGGCTGAGACAAACTGAGCCAAAAAGAGATTTTAACTACGACGAAATGCAATTTCTGGTGAGACAATTTGATATTTTGCGAGTAGCGAGTGTGATTGAATATCAATCTATTCAAACTTTTTTTTATAGATTTATAGTTTATTTATAGTTAGAAGCTTATGGACAAGAAATTTAAAAAAAAACATAGTCTTCATTGTTATTGTCAAAATATAAACTTTAAAGCTAATTTACCTAAAATTATTAAAATGTCACTTAGAACCCATACCCTCAATTATTTCATTATATGAAGCTATTTTCATAAAAATTTAATACATAACCAATTTAAATTATTGTATTTTTTAAAATAGTGATTATGCAAAGATATTGAATTGATACTTTTTCTGCTCTTTTATATGAAGATGATGAAAACAAACTTGCGTGGTGAACTTACCATTTACAAGGAAATGAAATTTGAAGATTTGGATGTTGTTACTGCTGTGATTAGAACATTACGGTTGTCATCTTCTGAGGTAGCTATTAAATTTATGTATTATTTAATTTTTTAAAGTTGTATTTTACTTTCTCTCAAGTTTATAAGATTACAACAAAAGATTTTAATATTGTGGGAAATTCTGTAACTGAATTATTATATATTCAGGGAACTGTCAGTAAAATGTTTGTGTTAATAATTATTGAAGAAAATTAATTTTAGTTTGGTATGTGATTAGTTATCTGAAATATAATATTAAAAAAAATTACTTTAAAATTAAATACAAAACTCATTTTTCAATCAAAATTTTTAATTTCTTTGAATTATGTTTTTCTTTTAAGTTTGTAAAAAAAAAAGAAAAAAAGAGTCTAACATACAAAAATATTAAACGTTTGAATTTTTGACTTCATTAGATATAATTGCATTTGATTGTAATATTGATTCAAATATTTTTAGCATTAAAAATAAGTTATTTTAAAAAGGAAAAGTTAAAATTATATTTTTAAAATGAAACTTAAATTTTTAGATATATAGTATAGGATTTCATAAAAGAGCTTTAAAAGTTATTCTGATATATTTAGTTCTCATATGACTAAAACATTTTCTTGGTATTTTTATATAATAAAATGCATACCTATATTTATTTCTCAGTAAAAATCAGTTTGCAAACATTGCACACTAAGTTTGTTATAGGGTTTGTCACACCAATTTTTCATTATTACAACAAACAAACACTTAATTTTTTAAAACAAGGCAATTCATAATAAATATCTTAGTTTTTTGTTGAATTGGCTGTTATTACCAAGTAATATTTGTATTAGTGTTTCTTTTTTATAATTAAAATTAGCTTTTGTTTTACTTTATTAAATTATGTCATTTATTATCAATTTCTTGTTTTTTATTGTTTTACCTTTTTTTCTGTTACTTTGTTATTTTTCACAGTTTTTTACAAGCATTCACTGAATGAAATATATTAAAAACTAATCAAATCAAAACTTTATTCCTACCTATGGAAAAAGAAAAGTTTATCATTGAATATTTAAAGTCTTCAAAGTAGTATACTGGGAAAATATTCACTAATTAGGTTTCATTAAAAATATCATTTTTGTCATTTCATCTAAGGTTTAACAGTTGGTTAAACTAAGAAAATAATAGAATGTTTGAAATTTTTATGGAAATTTAATGTATGTAGTTGAAGACACTATATCAAATAGAAAGTGTTGATGACTGGAAAATAACTCCTGCAAATTATTTTTTATCATGCACTTTTTAAATTGTTTAAGAGCTAGTAGAATTTAAAAGTTATAATCATTAAAGGTTGTTTTAGACTTTTTAAGTGCAATCTGAGGAATCTAATTAAGGAATCTTTTTACTGATGTATTTTTTGTATGCTATGAGTTTGCCAATATAATTAAGATTCCAATATATAATTCAGTTTAAATCAAGATTATTCAGTTTTCCTATGTTTTTCACGTTTAAAATACTAGTTTTACCTAACTTTGATTCTTTCGAGATCAGGAAGTACTATATTTTCTAGCTTTTCAATTTAGTAGTGTTATTATGAGTATTCATGTGTGTGTATGTATCATGTATGTGTATGAATATTCATGTGTTCATCATATATTATGAGTCATTTATTATGAGTATAAATTTTAGTAATTAATATTTTAGTTATTAGCTATATTCTTGTTAGTATATTTAAAAAAGTTAAGAAATAAAACATCAACAAAGTGAATCCAGTACCTCGGTAAAGTTATAAGGTTAGGAAAATTTTAACATGTTTGGTAAAGTGTAAGCATATTAAAATCAACAAAGCATAAAATAACAAACTCTACATCTTGAATTACTTTTCATCTAATGAACAGATTTTATGTACCAAGATGTAATTTTGCAATTTAGTGGAAACATTTTAAATATGCTATATTATAAGTGTAAATTACATTTTTAAAATGTCAAAATGATTTTATGCGATAAATTGGGACACTAAAATAAATTTTTCTGATTAAACATACTTTTTTTTGGCAAATACAGATTCTTTCTTTTTTTGACAAATACAAATTTTTACTTTTGTAGTACATATAAATCATTTAATAGAAAACTTAGCTAGTGAATTATCTATAGCTAAATTATTAATATGATTAAATGCCATTAAAAGTAAATGTTGATTACTTTATTGGTATGCAATTAAGTTATATAAGTTTGATATTCTTGTCTAAGCTTATTTTAAGAAGTATATTTATTCAGTTTATTTCCTTATACTACTTTTCATTTATTAGAAATAATAGATAATTTAATGTATTGTCACTTATCCTTTCATTTATGATATTTCTCTATATAAGTAACTTTGTCCTATTATAATTTTTAATGTAATATTTAAATATTATACTTAGTAATTTTGTTTTTGATGCTTAGGCTTTGTTAAGAAATATATTCATAATATGATAAACATTTTCAGTGCAATGTATTTCCTCCTTCTACTTTTGATTTGAAAAATTGATATTTAAAATTTATTCCATATTTGATCATGATTATTAAACTTTTCTCGGACATATTTCACATAATATATGACTAGGAACATACTTTTTCACTATAACCTTCTCTTTATAACTGTTTTGTTAAATACCATACATTTTAAAAAATATATGCAGTGCTAAAATTTTTTTTAAATTTTTTTTGCTTCTGATGTTTATTTTGCAGTTGCATTTGCTTTTAGATTGCCTATATTCTGTTGTAAAATTATTTAATAGGAAGTTGATGCTTTAAGAGATGCGCTTTCTCCTGCTATCTTATGTAGCATAGTGTCTGATGGTAATCTTGAGAAGTTAGAAATTATGAGACAGTTTGTAAGTAGATTTTATTTATTTATTTTTTTTTTTTGAAGTTATAAAGGTCAGGTGTTTAATTTGGTCATAAATACATAGATATAGTGGTCTTGATTTTTAACATAATTGAAAATGATTATAAATTTTTCTTTTCTTTTTGCGTCTCATACTTATAGAACACATTAAGGTACATTTTAAGAGATTTTTCTTAAACGAATAATTATTTTACACCATCCTCTTTTCCACATTTTTTGATCAATTATTTTTAACTGAAGTGAGGTAAAATGGTGTGATGCCATTATAGACATTTAATGCTTTTTAGTTTTTAAAATTTCTTAAATTTCATAAATTAAAATTTTTTAATCATTCTTAATCTAATTTTAATTAAATTAAACCAATTATTTAGTTTTTATTACATTTTATAAAAAGCAAATATAAATATTTTACTATCTTCTTAACAATCAATATAACGGCTAACTTTTTAATTCAATATAAATGTATAATTCATTAATTCACCGTCTCAACTAAATCGAACATCAAAATCTTAACTCTTTATTCCTTAAGCTGCTTAATTTCTCTAACCACAAAAATGCTTCAGTTACTAGGTTAAAGTAATTTCTCACGGTATTTTTGGTGTTTAAACTGTGGCCAAATTATTTAAATATTAACATGAGATATTGTGTGATTGACTGAATTGGCTTTTCTTTTGGCAGTGTTTTTTTTTTGTTTTGGTAATGGATCATTCCTGTATTACGAAGCATTGATTAAATGCTCACTTTTAATTTGACTTTTGACTAGATAGGGCATTTTATCACCCAGGGCCTGTCCTTATTGATATTATGTAAAACTTATTATTTCACTTCAAAAGTTACTTGGATAAAATATTTTTTTAATTTTGTATCCTGAACTCTACAATTACTACTGAATAAAAGTTTTATTATGATTATGATCCTGTTTTCATCTTCCTCAATTAGTCATCTACGCCTCCAATCGCACCATGTTATCCATTATTCCTTATTTTTCATTGGTCATACTTGGAAAATAGATGTTTAATGTTTATTTTTTGTTGACAAATTTTTTTATCAATTAAAATATGCAACACAGTTTTTTATGAAGGACTACTTAGTAAATTTGAGAGAAAAAATAAGGAAACTAACAATGCATCTTTTAAGCATTAAATATCTGTTTCTAAGTGTGTCTGTTTTTAAATTTTAAATTATCCATCTTTTAAGCACATATTTCACTATTAATTAATATTTTCTTTAAGAGATAAGTTCAAAGTGACTTTAAATTGTATATAACCAAACAAAATATAGTCTGCTGAAGGATTCGATATGTTTCAGAAATAAAAAATAAGATAATTTCTCCCCCCTTATAATTTTTAGTCTTTGGGAAATGGTAAATTTTTCCCTGCTTGTGCCAGAATTAATCTTGATTTCTACTGTTATAATTAAATACCAATTTTAAATTTGGTTGAGAAACACACTTTTTTTTGAAATTGAAGGCTGTTTGTCGAATGTGAATATAAAAATTATTACATTAGAAAAAGAATCTCAAAATGGTATTTAAAATTATTATTTCACTTCTACATAATTTTACTTTTTTTCTCATTTGCTTATGAATATATATCTTTCGGCTAAAATAATTATTCAATAGCTGTATGCGCCAAGACAAACAGTTGGACAGCTTTTTGCCATCTTATTTAAACTATTATTAAATATTATTTATATTAAATGAAGGCTAATTTTATATTTAAGTATTTTTTTGAGTATATAAAATTACTGAAATGAAATTATCTTCATTATCATTGTGTTGAAAAATTGCCAGAGCAAAATATAGACGAGAAGTTTTTGAGATATTACTATATAAAATTCATGCACAAATAATCAAGAACGTTATTTTTCTTACTAACATGCTACTATTTTTTTTAACTAAAATTAATTCTAGGATATTTAAAGCTAGGAACAAAAAACTGTCATCAATTCCAGTTGGATAAGGACATTGGAAAAGTATATCAAAACTTTCATTCATTACTTCTTTTAAAAGTTTCCACTGATATTAATATTTTCATTTGTTAGTATCATCTGATATTGGCACTTTCTTTTAACTGTATTGAAAAAAGTCTAATTATTATTTTCTGCAGTTCTGCACAATTATTTCAAAAGTGGAGTAATTGGTGGAAGAAATTATAGCCAAAAAGCACTGTAAAGTACATTCTATTATAATTATAATCAATAAATCAGCATATGAGGGTTCCAAAAATAAAGGAAATAATTTGAATCAGTTAATAATATTGTGGGAGGGATGAAAAAGTATTAAATACGTTATCAGAGGAAAACATCTACATTCATCTTTCTTAGACCATTTACTTATTTGCTCAATGAAATTTATACTCAAGTGCTTTGTATGAAAAAGAAAGACTTCGGGAAGTAAAATCTATCCATACTACAATATGTAGTTTTTTCTCTAAACTGTTGAAACTATTAATTTATAGTTTTTTAAATTGATTATTACGATGAATCAACTTTGACATTTTTGTACCTTCTGCATGTATGCTTATTTGCTTCTTTTAAATTTAAGATTCAATTCTAGGGAGCATACCTTTCTGCATGTGATTATGATTACAGAACTCCATTGCATATTGCTTGTGCTGATGGCAATATAAGCATTGTAGAATACTTACTAAAGCATGGAGCTAGTGTTCATATGCGGGATCGAGAACACAGAACTCCCTTAATGAATGCAGTTGAAAATGATCATCACGAAGTTATTGAATTAGTTATTAAAGCTGGTGGCTACCTAAATTTACCTTCTACCACAGTAGGAGAAATGTTATGTCGGTAAGAATTTTTTAATTTAAAATGAGTGTAAGTAAAAAAATGCCCATTAAACATAATATTTTCTTTTAGTGCAGCCAAAGAAAATAATTTACGCCGACTTGAATCACTTCGGCTTGCTGGGGCAGATTTAAATGAACTAGACTTCACAAAAAGGTCTGCTCTTCACTATGTGAGTATTAAAAAATACTTTACAACTTTCTGTTTCTTTCTTCTTTTTTTTTCTATTTTAACCTTGAAAATTTCTCTAATCTAGGCTACTGAAATGAATTTTGAAGAAGCAGTTTCATTTTTGCTACAATACTCTGTTGATGTTTCTGTTCAAGATTTATATGGTAATACATGTGTTGATGTTGCAAAAATACTGAAACATAATAAGATTCTAGATATATTTGAGAAGCATGTTAATATTTGATCTGCCTCTTAATGACTATAGTTTTGTCTCTAGTCAGAAAATGCTAAAAGCGTCTTTCATTTACCAGTTTTGAATTATTACTAAATAGCATATGCTATGCCAGTTTTGTAGAAAATATGACAGGCTTAATTGCCATTCACACTGCATGCAAAAAATTCGTATATTCGAAGTGGGAGATGCAAACGAAAACCTGATTAATGAAATAAGTTTACTCAGGAAAAACTCACCAATCAGGTTTTTGTTCGCATCTCCAAATTTGCATAGGCGATTTTTAACATGGTGTGTGAATGCTCCCTTACACCCCTTTGCTGTGAGGGAAATCAGCATATTATATTACTCTATAGGGACAATCTGTACCAAAGATTTATTTTGAAAACTTGTTTTTGTTTGCTTATTTTGTTGAAATTTGTCTATTATATGTCTTTTAACTCCAGTTGTTAGTGTTACACTTTTTTAATTAGTTTATTTTTATGCATTTTTGATTGAGTATTTTTAAACTCTAGTAATTTACCTTGAGAATCTGAGGGTCAATCAAAATGATTTATAAACTAGCCAATCAGGTTTTTGTTCGCATCTCCATATTTGCATATGCTTCCTTACACCCCTTTGCTATGAGTGAAATCGGCATATTATATTCTTTATAGGGACAATCTGAACCAAAGATTTATTTTGAAAACTTGTTTTTGTTTGCTTATTTTGTTGAAATTTGTCTATTATATGTCTTTTAACCTCAGTTATTAGTGTTACATTTTTTTAATTAGTTTATTTTTATGCGTTTTTGCTTGAGTATTTTTAGACTAAAGAAATTTACCTTTAGAATCTGAGGATCAATCTAAATGATTTATAAAAAAGTTTTTGCTTTCAATGCATTTGCTATATTTTATTATATCTCATCTTTTTCTCCCTATTCTAAGCATCATGATTCCCCCCCCCCAAAAAAAAAATATATTGAACACATGAGTAGCTACAATAGTACTTCCTGTTAAGGACAATTCCAAAAAGAGACACCCTCTATTGAAGGAACAAAATACTCTTTATTAATTTATATCTCCCTTTTGATGACTGGTGCTTCTGAGGAAAGAAAAACAATACATTAGAAAAAAAGCATGACATGGTGCAATTAAGAGGAATATCTCATTCAAAGAATTGTGAGTATGCATAACCACCCAGGAACTGCCTTTGTGGGTTATAGGGATCAATTAGTAAAAACAGCGGTCAAAATTCAAATGACTAGTCCATCTGATGAAAATGATTGGTTGCTAGTACTAAAGAACATTCCAACGTGCATATTGTGAAAATTTCTAACATTCTTAGTTCTTGCGTGGGCTGTGATGTAGTGTGAAGGTTGTGAAGTGTAGTTTTAGTTCAAGTGATTTTAATACAGAAGTTTGAAATAAGTAAAAATGAAGTATGTAATATGTTAAAGAATACAGAAGAATTTAAAAAAACATTATTACTTAATCAAAAAAGGAATAAATCGTAATAAACGTGTTCTTTATTAGGAGGTTCTACTGTATTTGCTTGACAATGAAAAAACCTGATTTTCTTTTTTTTTAAGCCTATCTTTCATACTGAATTTTTAAGCTCAATCACTTAACAAAAAATAATGTATTTAGAATAAGATATTCATATAAAATTTATAAAAATCTCTATTGAAATTTTAATTTTGAAACTTATAAATTGAACAGAATTAATCAAATAAATCCTTTGTAGTTGTATCCAATTTATATATAAGTTGCACTCTGATCTGAATTAATTTTTGTTGGACAAACATAATATGTAAGATGATGAATGAAAAATAAAACTATTCTTTTTCGAAGACGAAAGCCTTTATTACTCTTAAACACAATTTGAAAAATATTATTTTGAATTTTAAATCTTTCCATAGCATGTCGACTTAAGTAAACAATAATAACATAACTTATGTTCAGTACTGAAAGATAAGTATCGCTCATTACTGTGGTGGCAGAGAGCAGACATATGATTAGAACAGTAAAAAAGCTTTGGTGGTTTAGAGTAGACATGTAAAGTTGAATAGTCACTATTTCTTGGGGGCATATTTTTGTCGTTGATATAAAATTGGTGTTGATGCTAAACTGAAAATTTTAATCTTAACAATTAGTGAAATTTCGGATAAATTAACGGAATAAAAATGTTTGTTAGGTTTTAAAATTATACACCTACACATAAATATTTTGCATATTAAGCAATTACGCACTTCTAGATTTAAATTAATTAAATCAATGCATTTTGTTTTTATCCTCCTTTTTTAATACTTTCATCACCGAAAATAAATGTTTTTTAGCCATACCATTAAAAAACTGCCAAGCAAAATTTAAAAAACTTTTACTTTTCTAATCTTAGTATATAAATATCTAGTTATGTTAATACGTATACAGTTTTTTAATGTCAAAAAGCTTCATATTATTTCTGTGAGATGCAAATGTTAACAGTGACTATAACAGGAAGTAATAACTTACTAGTCTGTTATTTAAAATTTCTTCTAATCTAACTAGTATTTGAACTCTAAAAATTGCAGGAGCACGTTTCCTACTTTCAGTTTTTAAAAAAATATTTACTCTATAAAATCATACGCATTAGAAATTTTTTTTTTATACATAAAAAAAATAATAAAAAATTTGATTAGAAAATTTTTACATTTAATGATTGATCCAGTTTTAATACATTTTTAATTGAGTTAACCAACAATTTCCATTGAAATTTATTTATAAATTGAGCAAATATTTTACTATTTTATTGTAAATATAGTAGTGTTCCGACAATCTAGAAGTTACTTTTGATAGTTCTTGTTCAATTACATAATATTTTACAAACAGCCATGGAACGTTATTGCATTTTCAAAACGTTTCATGTCACAAAAGAAATTGAGATTTAGCTGTGGATTTAAATTTTTTAAAAGTCCAATCAATAATAACAGATCTTAGTGTAACATAAAAAAAATTACCAAACGTAATTATTATCATTAAACATACCTCTTTCTTGTTAAATTCTGACATGAATAGCTACTATATTTATTTGCATGTAAAATCTGCATAATCATGAATTGTATGATTAATAAATCTGCTTGATATTTTAAGTGATCTAAATTGATAACAGTTCCGTTGATTTAGAATTCCTGTTACCCTTCTCTTATGAGAAAAAAACATAATATATACTTGAGGCTTTAGTGTCACTATCCTCTCCACTTTTTCAAGTGTACTTAGTTGTTTTATACATTAGAGCCACTGAAAAACCTGCACGTTCTGACAATTACCTCAACAGAACAAACTAGCATTGTTAATTATTCTATATGAAACATTGTATAGAATAGAATGGTGTATGTAAACATAATTTTATAAAGTTTATCCACCTAAAATAACAGCAAGTTACTCAATTGCAAAGCTAAATTTTTTAGTAAATAAATCTTACTTTTCACTATCAGCATTCTAACTTTTAAATTGTTAGTAAACCCATTGAGCATTGATTGAAGGTCAAAACACTGTGCAAAGTTTACAAATTCAACACATTAAGTAAAAAAGGTCCTTGTGTTTAGATATTGAACATTGGAATTTCAATTGAAAGCCAAATAATAATAATTTTGGGTCGCCTTTGATGGTATTTTTTTTCTAAAATTGGGGTTTCTATAAAGATTAATATTATGATAGCTTATATTTCAAGTATTTAACTAATTTTTTCATATCGTTTGAACTATTGTTTATCTATGCTTCCTAAGAAATACAGATCCTTTCTTTATTTTGCCCTGCTTAACATTGCCACACACTTTTTAGTATGCCAATAGTACTCAGAAACACATTTTGTGTCCAATTTTCTATAACTGCCTTATAAAATTAAGCGTCAGTCATATATTTTAAAGTAAAAATTATTACATTTTGTCACAGCTTTTCAATGGAAACTTATGATGGCTGTAACTGTCATTTGCTCACCATATTTTTTTCTCTTCCCAAACAAATGAAAAAACTATGTTATCTTGAATATTACATCTTTTTTTTATGTATTGCTGAATAATTAACAAATAAATGCCTTAATACTCTCCATACTAATAATGATCCTTTTTCATTAATTAAATAAGCAGGAACAGGGTTTCACAAAAATTCTTTATTCCAAATTTGATATTCAATGAATCTGATATTGAGGAATTAGTTTTTAAAAAAGAAGTGATAATTAACTGATCCACTTAAGGTTGGAGAGAGTAGATACATTGAGGATGGCTATAGTTGTCATTTGCAGCAATGTGTTAAGAAAAAAAATTTTCTTCAAAATTATGAACATTGATAATTTAAACAGATTACCAATATATATTTCCACCCCGTGCAAAACAAAAGCTGTAATGACAAATATATGTATGCCTAAATGTAAATAGACCGGTGAGTTATACTGAACATACCTTTTTTGCAAGTGCTGCTGTTTTTTCACATCCATTACATTAACAAGCCATTAATATATTATGAAATAGAAGCTATTGTTCTTAAATTTACGTGATTCTTGTTGAATTAGAATTATGATATTTATCTACAGTATTATACATTTTGATATAAAATTAATGTTATTTGACATGGCATTGCAGATGAAAGTTATTAACTGTTGAAATTAAATTTTTATTGTATAAGTTAGTTAATCAGACATATAAACTTTTAAATTTGTTCTTATTATGTGTCTACATAGCCACTCTAATGCAGTTTGTCACAAAATTGCAGAGCCTTAACCTCTGGGGCCCCCTAACCCACATCATGCTGTTGTAGAATGTTTTGTTTTACTTGCTTAAAATACGGGATGTGGGACAAAATAATTGAAGCAATCTGTGACAGAATGCAAAATTTTTATTAGCGGGGAGTTGGCCCAATCGCAGCTTGCTCCAAATTGGGACAAACATTGTTCATAATGATGAAGGGAATTCAGTCATTCCTCTTGCAGAACAGTCTCAAGTTTAGGTAGCAGAGCATGGATAAGAAAACAAAACCCAGACTTTGTTTTCTAAAAAACTCCACAAAATATCAATGTTGTTGATCGGGACTAACAACACAAGGTGAGATGTTCCACTTCATCATTATGTTTATCTAACCTTGTTTGAACACAACAATCTGCAATAGTTTTTTCTTTTTTGGAAGAAAGGACGTTCTTCAGGGAACAATCTGAAGTCTAGGGTATAAAAAATGTGATACTGTGATAATGCTTGCCTCTTGATCTTCATTCTCAAGACTACAAGTGTCCCCAAGCCAAGATATTGTTTCCTACACCGTCCACTGTTCTGCTTCTTAGGGAGCACCTTTCGTAGTTCTGTATGGTTTTTCATAACGCTTAACACAGTAATCCCTGAAACACCCTAAAATTGGTTGTTCAAAGCACATATGCTCCAGCAAGGCCCGTTCCAACGATTGTATTTCTTTGCTGATTGGGCAGGTCAGACATTATGGTGTTTCACTAGGAACAGAATTTTATTATACAACTCGCACCATCAAATACTTGATTGAAGCCTTCCTATTCACTGCCACTATCGCAGACTGTTGTCACAGGTGACAAAACTGTATTGAACGGTCATTGTTTGACGCATTTTCAGAATGCATACCTCTTGAACGGAATTTCCAAAGTCTTAGAAAATAATATTTGTATTAATGGTAATTTATTAATAAATTAGAATAATGTTAGAGATATTGGTCAGATAATCAATAGTGTTTATTTTTAATTTGCGATTAAAGTTATTTAAAAAAAAATTCTGCCTAAGTTAACTATCACTGGGAAAAAAAACTCACATTTTGGAGGGTAAGGGTGTTCTTATTATTTTGCCTAACACCTGTGTATGTATAGGATGACTTGAACCATTTAAACGATAGTTTTATTAGTGCAAATAATAAAAATTGTTCAATTATTTCTAGAGATATGGAGAAATATGTCACAAGTAAAAATAATAGAGGCCTAAAATTAGCCTACCTATCTACACTGATGGAAAAAAAATCCCAATACCAAGAAAAAATTATTATGGAGTAATGAAATTTCACAGGTTAATTTAATTAAGAGAAAAACCATTTCAAATTTGAAGTACTGGTACTTTAAAAACTTGCTTGGAGCTGTACTTGAAGTAGTCAATTTGTAACAGTTAATTGTGTGTGCAAACTGCAGCTGGAATTTCTGATGCAGGCAGTCTACCCTCAGTAATATGCGTGGCTGCCCAGAACCCAGTATTCTTGAAGCTGTACCTTCCCTTAACACTGCCGCTGACAATCATGCACAGTGGATACATTTCTTCCCAGTCGTTCTGCAATATTGCAGAAATAAACTCCGCCTTCTCGCAGCCCTATTACGTGACCACATTCAAAGTCAATGAGCTGTTGATGCATTCTTGACTAACTGCAACTCACTACGTCAAAATTTAATGAAAAATAATGCTTACGAACTGTAGGAAACGTATTTATAGCAACCCTGATTTGCCTGTTCACAGCGTAAACTTATGCGCCAAGTGCGAAATTTGAATAGACATCGTGTTTTAGTTGTATAAACAAGCATTTTGTCCTGCACAACTTCTTGATGTTGGATTTTTTTTCTGTCAGTGTATATCAACAAGACTGTAGCTGCCCCTAATATCTTGAATATCAAAAATCGAAACCTGTGGGAAAAAAAGGTGTGTTTATTCAGAGAAAGTACGTTTTTGTGTGCTATTTCATGACTAAAAATATTCTTTACATTATTTAATTAGCATATCTGAGGTGAACTACCATATGTTGCCTATAATTACATTTTCATAATATACCCCCCCCCCCCCTCAGTTTTATGCTATACCNCCCCCCCCCCCTGCCTCAGTTTTATGC